CCTATAGTTAGTGGTAGGCAAGCTTATTTGGACATCTGAGATGTCCGGCACACCAGCTGGACAAAGTGCTTCATCATCTCTTCTCCTTCTCCTGTAGCAAGCTGCCGGAGTGCGCTGCCTTGCCAGGAATGATGAAATTGGACCATGCAATACCCTACGCGAGCAACAATAGACCAGTTCAAAGAGTTCTCTTTGGATGGGCTGCTCACAGCAGGAGACGTGCCTCGCATGCATAAATGAACTACAGAGTCTGTGAAGGTTGGCTAATTGCTCTATGTATGTTTTTATAGTTGGGAGGAAATCCAGCTAGAGACTGAGCTGTAAGAAAGGAGGTTAGTGGAAATCCATTTAGACCACGAGAGGAAGAGTTTGATCACTGACGCAGAATGTGTGTCTGCGTGAATTTCCACATGGGGATCTCTATGTATTTGCACTTTTTCACAAGGACAGCCATTCCCTCCGGGCAGAGATTTTCTGTCTTTGGCAGGTAGTAACAGCTGAATTTACAATGGGGACTTCCATTTCAGCTTTGTGTCACACAGTCTATTTTCCTGGGAGCTCTTGCTCAGAATGAAATCTTTCCATGCTAAAAGCTTAGTATCACTTCCTCCCTGTGCTCACTTCATATCCTATAAAAAAGTCTACATTTAAGCAAATTGATTTTTTTTTTCTGTGTACTGGATTGTGACAGAGTGGGCAGGGATAGATTTTCTCCTGTGAAATGACAGCATAGTTGCTGTTACTAATACTTAGTACCGGAGAAGTAATTCCTGGTTCCTACAACATACTTTCCACCCAGAGATTTCACAGCTCTCCCATTTTACAGGCAAAGAGGAGTGACAAGAAGTCCTGCTGAAAAGCGTTTGGTAAGTCAGTTGCAACCCTGTCTGTAGAACTGAGCTTTTGGGAGTCCTTGTCCTGCACTGTGTCCACTGAGGTATCCACCAAGAGGCCTCATCAGAAGTGTTGCGCCATTTAGCAAGGAGCTGTCAAAATGAAGATTGCTCTGTCCCAAGACTCGGATAATTTATAGCTATTTCTCCCTTTTTGCTAGAGCTACGTTAAGCCTCAGGGGCTTGAATGGATCTCCACACCAGCATAAGATGAACCTCTCCGGAGTATATTGCAGGTCTGCAGTCTGAGAAAGTACATGACATAAAAGAGTGCAGGGTGAGGAGTGAGGTTAAGTCAACACAGTATTTACAACATATTTTGTGATGACTTAATTTAGTAACTGTCCCCATAGGCTTTTCTCATAGCTGATTACTTGCTTTCATATAACTGCACCAAGAGAGAGAAAATCCAAATGGTGATGATGGACTTATGGGTTTGTCAATCTCTTAAAGGAGATTATTCTTACAGTAAAAACAAAACTGGTATTGGAAGGCAGAACAGGTATTGATAAGTCTGGATGTAATTGTCAGGATGGAATTGCTTGCTAAAACACAGGCTCCACCGCAATTAGAAGCTATGGTGTGTTGTGTTTGTTATGAAGTTATGATGCAGAAGCCATTTGGTGAAATTCTATGGCTGTCTGCCAGGAATAGTGAATGTTTCTTGCTACTGGTGCCAAACAAACTTAAAAAGAAACCATCATAGCTTGTTATTGCTGGTGCCAGACCAAATATCTGTTGGCGCCAAACTTGGTATTGATGCCAGAGGCTTGCTATCACTGGCCCATGATATGAGGAAACACCGACTGAATTCTTACAATAGCCTCTTATTGCCTTTAAGTCCATGCATTGATGGAGCAGAGCGAACAACACGGTAAGAGAAGCACAGCAAAATTAACCCAGAGCTGAAGGGCTTTGAATGTGTGACGGAGAGCCATTGAACTTTGCTAGCCCTTCCTGGAATATACCTAAGCCAACTCAAAACCGCATATATTTTACATGGGTAAACAAGTGACTAGAGATATGAAGGATATGTTTCCATTCAACTAAGTTAAAGTACTATTTATAGCACTGTGGATTAACAAATGAATCATCTTGCCAATAATATTCCAGTTCAACAGCAGTAAGGATTCAACATTCTTACTTCTGGGTTGAGATTTTGTTTTGGGTTGTTTTTTGTTGTTGGTTTTTTTTTGGGTTTTTTTGTTCTCAAGAAGCAATTTCTGGGTGGAATTTATATAAGAATTAGCCAAATCTGTAAATAAATAGTGGTGTAAAAAACTTCTCTATTATTTTTTTTTTTCCCGAGACCAAGTCAACTGCATTTAGGCGCAGGCTGCTGACAGGCAGACCTTCCTGTGGTAGGCAGGATTCAGCAGTAATCCCCAGGTGATGTCTTTCCTGCGCATGCTCTGTCCTCCATTTGCTGTTTTCCTTTTTCCTTCCCTGCTTCAAGGTCTGAACTGTCATCTGTCAAGCCATTTTGATCTAATCCTCCCACCCCCTGGACAGCTCCAGAACAGCATTGGTGTCTTTGAAAATCTGGTCCATGTTTTTCCTTGCTTATACCTGGGACAGGGGCATAGTTACACCGAGGGAACATCTATTACAGTACCTAAGGGTGGTGGGGGATGGGGGGGTTTTATAACCTCCAAATCATGTTCCAGAAATCAGGTGTATTTTCTCCACTTTTCAGATGGCAAAGAAATGCAGTAAAAGCTCGAGGAGCCGACTCTTCAGCTGCTGCAGATCTGACAAAATCATTAGTTTTGTTGAGTTGCATGGGTTGAGTATCTGGTTTCCAATTCCTAGGTGAGTTCTTAAGGGATTAGCTGAGTTTCAGTCCCTTGAAGGTGCAAACAAACATACTCTTTCCTCACACATGTGAAGGTTCTTCCCTAAAGATGTCGAAGTGCTTTGCACAGAGGGTGTTGCCATTTCTGTTTCATAAGTAAATGTTCACAGAATTTAAGTATCTTAGCCAAACTTACACGATCTAAGATGGAATAGGACACAGGTTTCCTAATTCCTCAACTACTGCTCTACCTACTAACCCCGTTGTTCCCCTGAACCCTTACATATACTTGAGTAGATTAATAATTAACCTCCAAGTGGGGCACTTTGAAGCAAATGTAAAATGAAACCAAACACTTGTCTTGGTTTTTAGTCATACCAGATTTGCAAGTAGGGTGTGTTTAAATGATGCAGGTAGATAAAGTCTTGTTAATTTAGATTAGAGTAAAAGTCAGGGCCTTATCAAAGCAAGTGACTAATTAGGAAAACTATTACCTTTTGGAAAAGAAACAGTGGAACTATCACTCAAAATTATTTTAACTAATTGAATAGTACTAGTATTTATGCTGAATAAAGGCTCGTGCAACTGCTGGGGGAAGGTGAAAGACAGAGATTTTCCCAGTAATTTCCAGTGTTCTTTTTTTTGATAATTTTGCTTTTAGAAACTTAACAGTACTTGTCATCAGTGTGTAAACACAGGGAAGGGAGGAGAGTCCTGTGAGTCATGAGGGAACCAAACTGACAGAATTTAAGTGAAGAGCTACAGCGTTTGCATTAAATACGCTGCTTTCGGTCTCTTACCTTACCAAGCCAACAGGACAGAAAAGTACTTGTGAACAGTTTGAAATGATCCAGTGAATCTCAGGTCTGTAATAACTACGATCGGGCACTTGAGAACCTGCAGAGGTGGAAACACTAGAGCAAATTCATGGTGTGAAAAGAAAGATTACGATCAGACTGTATTTATGTTCAGACAGATACATGCAATTGTGAAGAATCATTAAATAACTGTTAACCACACCTGCACAGAGCCTCTGGCAATGCTGGCTTATACAGAATCTCAAGAACTGCCATGTGCCTGACATCATACCTTTGCAAGGAAAGAAGAGTCCTGGGTGTTAGCCCAAGACTGGTAAGTAAAACATAGTCCACAGACTTGAGCCAGTTTAATGTCTGTTAGTGATTTTCTGGTGTCACACCCAGTACCCTCTCCCCTGCAAATCTGTCAGTAGCCCTGATTTGTTTGGTTAAGACCAGGACTTACTAAACATCTTGGAATCTCTGTTAATGCAATGGCTACTTACCTCTAAGTCATTCAGGACCGTGAGGAGGGAGTGAGTGTGTGTGCACACAGGGAGTCCAGCACAAACAATATCTTGACTTCCCTGGGGCTTGTAATTGCTGCTGTGACACACAGCTGCTTGTTTGGGTTTCTTTTTACATGGATCATTTTCCCTTTTAAAAAAACACTGGGGGGGTTTGACATTTTTTTCATGATGAAAATGACATTTCAGAACCTTTTTATTTTTACTGTAAAAAGAAATGAAAGGGAAGCCTATGGGGAAGGGGACAACCAGGGTAAAGGTAGAGGAGGCTGGAGCAAAGCTGAGATGAAGAGACGGAGATGTGGAGAAATTTGGAGTAGATTGCTTCAACCAAGAGCACACTGCGGAGCAGTTTCACTCAGACTGTAGAAAATTTCCAGGATGCCCAAAGATCTCTGATTTGGCTGCTTCTGCTGGTGGAATTTTTTGGACTGCTCACCTCTACAGCTCTCCTCGGGCTAGGGAGTTCTCTGGGTTTTCATTTCCCATGGTGCATTTGGAAGAAATCGTCTTTCATCTGCATTTTCTCTCTTGGAGTATACTTTTCCCATCTTTCACGGCAAGAGGTGTTCAGGAGCTCGTTGTCTTTTTTATTCAGTAACAAAACATAAACAAATGCAAAATTGAAGGTTGAACATTGGCATGTAATTCTGGAAAGGGGCTGCTATGCATGGCTTTGATATATCTTTCTAATTGCAATTTCTATACAAAAATCTTTCCTTTTTTGTTTTTTTTTCTTCCCCTAATGAAAATTTCCAGCAACTGTGAAGAATAGGAGATTTTGAAACAGAAACAGAGCATGACTGATGCACAGAGAGATTTTCAAGAGTTGGAATAATATTTCAAAAATTTGCAGACTTCAGTATTCATTTCAGAGAAGCATAAGCCCTGGCACTAGACATTGATAGATCAGACTATGGAGATATTTACTCATCACTTACAAGAGTCCTTATTCATAACTTGATTTATTTATGCCATAGGGGTTTGGAAGACAGTCCATTTTTACTTTCTTCAGTTGACGCGGGTTCAATGCCAAGAAACTTAGCAAAGCTCAACATATATTAAAACTTTTAAGAGTTATCAAAGTGCTGTGGGAAAAACGCCCTCCCACCGTGCTACTTCAAACACCCATCAGCTCTCTGTAAGTAAATCTTGGTGATTTGGTCAGAGTTTGTTCTGAAGGCAGGATATGAAGTAGTACACACTGTACCCTCTTACCCCCACTTTGGCCTTTAAATGCACTGTCATTACAGGTTGGCCCCTTGATGAAGTTAGGTGGAGTCAAGTGCAAACTGAATAGGTGGGGCTTTCACTCCAGTGGGCCTGAATTCAAACCTTCAAAACTTTGGCCAGACTCATGACTATTCACACTTGAGAATTTAATTAAATGGTGTTGGATATGAGAGTTAAATGTGGAAACTCTGTACTCTATTATACTAGCTCATGTTGCCGAAAGAAATAGAGCCATACGTCTTGATTGAAGAGACAGAGCTAAGTGCATAATTCGCAACAAATAATTAATCTAAATGTTTCTAAATGATTCTTACAGAATCTGATTATGGTTGAGAAAGATCCCTATTTATTAATGCTATGGGACTCCCTTTCACAAGGGGAAAGTTTATTTATATAAGATTAATGAGTTGAGGTATAGACTTGCAAGTTCTTCCTGAGTCATCAGACCCAGAAAACATGTATTTTATATTAAGGTTAATACAATCTTCCAAGCGAAGCATTTATGAGTGTACTTTAACTGATGGGTATATGATGACTGACATTCCAAAACCTCTTCTGCAAACACCTACGCTGGCATACTTTTATACATAGGAGTAATCCTAATTAATTTGAGAAAATTGCTCTTGTGCGTGAATGTATTCATTAGTATTTGAAACATCATGGTCTCAGTATGGTGAGTCTTGCAGATACAATCTTGATCTTTTACTTAAAGATGCCCACAATGTCCTGTCCAGCCTTTATGGCTACCTTAGCACTAGTAAGTAATGCAGGACAGCACACCGTCTTTGCCCGTGAGGGCTAAATTCTCTTCCTGCCAAAGAAGTGGCCTCATATGCCCCGTCTGCATGAGGGAGCACTCCTTTGTCCATGCTATCTCCTGAACCATGCCTGTGTGTTGTGTGAGAAAGTACTAGGTGACAGGGGAAGGCCCATGTCAGGGAGCTTGCTGCTAATCAAACAGTGTGGATAATCACATCCCAGCTCTTGAGTCCATGTACTGGCTCCTTTTAGTTTGCAAGGTTAGGATATAACTTTTATGAATATTTCATTCATTTCCCATTTTGAGGCTTTGATAAGGTGTTCTCATCTGTTCTTTACAGAAAGCAGTAGCACTGTTGTTATATCCAGCAATGTACTTTTGGGGATGTGTTGGCTGGGTTTCTGTTCCGGTGCTGCTGAAGAGTTTTGCCCAAGAACAGAGCAGGGAAACTGTCTGTCTTACTGTGTTGTGAGTCTTCCCTTCCAGAGGTAAGATCTGATGAGTAATTTTTTTTTATAAACATGATTTCAGTATGCCACAAGAAAAATATCAGGTAGAGTATTAAATGGTTGGAAAGTTACAGCACTAAGGAGGGTGGCTTTATTTTAGAGGAGTGTATTTAGAGGAATAGAGGAGAAAGTAGAGAAATTCACAGGCAAGAAGAAAATAAAATCTACAAACTGAAGACATAAGAGTGAGTTTGAACTGAAAATTTGTACCATTAACAATTTCTAAAAGCATAGATTCTGCTTTGCAGTTTGTGAGATCTCAGAGCTGCTGCCTGAAATTGTAAATGCCTGTGTTGTCACACCAGGGGATCGTCATCATCTTATCCCGAAGCAGGTGTCTGTAGTACATGAAGTGATTTGACCTTGCAGTGCCCATTTCTGTCAGCTGAAAGGAAGCCTAAGGTTTCCTGGGGGATCACCTGGGACGTATTACAGAGCTCTAGAAGTATTTAAGGTGAGTTCCAACCTGCCTGTCTTCTTTTAGGAAGCACCCGAAATAGAGGTACCTCAGCTTTTAGATAGTCAAGGTACTTTGCTTAATGGAGTTTAAGGTAATTGATTGTGAAAAGAAAATCTATTTTATTTCACTAATTGAACTTCATTCTGAAGTTAAGATAACAATTGAACATAGTGGGCTAGACTGAAACATTGTGTGAATTGAGAGGGCTTGCCCCTCAAAACCTACTTGGTGCTTAGAAGCTGTACACTCTGTTCCACCTCAATCATTGCAGTTATTCTCTTCATTTGCCAGGCTACCACTTGCTTATTATCCTTTCTGATATGAGTCATGCAGAAGGGCATAATGTTTTATAATGTCTTTCCATGAATGCTAGAACATCAGTGCTTGCTCCAGGGAAAGGTGAGTATGTGTTTTTATGTGCCCCAATGGTTGCCATGCTTAATCAATAGTAAAAAGGTTGTCTTTAAAAACACTGAGAGCTTTCTAAAAGTGTTCTTTCCACCATTAGTGTTATGTTCCTTAATAGAGCTAGCTTAAGCTTGCTACACTGACTTCTGCATTGTTCGTGTTCATTGGTCGCTTGCCTCTTTCTGTTAACTTTTCATGTACACTTTAATTAGGTAGCGAATGATGGGACATGTTATGAGATGGTATGGATTTACTAACTTCAGTGAAGTGTTTTGTGCTGAACTAGCTAAAGCTCTGGGCAATAATTTATACATTCTTTGTATTTAACTGTCTCTGTGCATTTTGGATGAAGATAACTGCCCACATATGTGATTGCAACTCTGTTGCCAAAAGAGGTGTGTCTGTTTATGCTGGTGAATTGCTTGACTGTTGGTATAAATATAATAGCATGGTAATTACTGGTTATAGATACAATAAAGATCAAACTATTTTCCATACAGAACGCTTTTATTATCCTGAAAGCATATCTCTTGCCTTTTCACATGAAGAATGCTAACCAAGAGCGTGACATTGCAGAGTTGGAAACCAGAGTAAAACCATCATAGTGGTCTATTTCTGCAAATAATTTGCATGTATTATTTGTCCATGAAGTGTGAACAATTTTCTCAGGTGTCCTATTATACAATGACTTCTTTTGCCCAAAAAGCAACAACAGAAAGAATCTCTCTGTAATGCCTGTAATGCTTGTGCTTGCTAGTCACAGAAGAAAAACGGTATGGTTTCTCTTTTCTGATTAGGTTGTTTATAGAATAAATTAATCTAATGCATATGTGAATAATAGGGAAAATGATAAATATGCCAACAATATCTAGTTTTAAAATAGTTTTTCTTATGTAACTGGCAACTGAAGTAAGTCTAGTCTGATCTCTTAGAAAAGCAAATAAAATGTACGTATCGATAGAAATCACACTGTTCATGAATGTTTTCAGATGGAAGTTGGCTTTTAACAGCAAATGGCAATCCAATGTTTTCCTACTCTATTCAGTTCATACTTCTCACTGGAAGGTGTATGCAGTATGACACAACATGTTGTGACTCCCCAGCAAAATGTTGCAATACACATTGGTCAAAGTATGTAGTATTTCAGAGCTACGCATAATTTGTGATTGCAACAGTCCCAAATAGGATAGCAGCAATGGGAGCACATAAAATGTGCTTGCTGTCTCCATCTCATTCATAATTTTGACTCAGCAGTTCCAGCTGATTATTAATAGTTTCTCCAACAAGCCTGGATTGACTAAGTGAATTCACTTGAACGTACTCAAGTGGTTTTATTAACCTGGGCCTATGCAAAAGTGACTTTCTAAATTGGATTCACTGGACTAATCTTGCTGCCTGTGCTATTGTGTATTGCACCAACCAACAAAATAAGCAAGAAACAAAGAGGTAAAAAAATATTATTTAAACTGGAAGTGAGGCAGAATTCATTAAAAAGAGAATATGCACCGTGCTCATTATAAGATTTGCTAATGCTTACAAGTTCTTCCAGCTAAATTTAATGTATGCAAATGATTATTTAGAAGCAGTTATTATCAACAATACTAATAACTTCAATATTAGTAATAAGACTGATCTGGACTAATTAACTGTTTTGAATTGAATTTTGCAATTTTTGCAAGTTTTCTCAGTTTTATGGCTACTAAACAAAATGACTCCTGCTGGCTAACAGAAAATTCTGTTTCACAGAATAGGATTCTGGGTTTGGAGACAAGTTTTGAACCAGAATAGAGGTGACCAAGAAAGGTTCTGCTTGTGCCAACAACATGGGTAGAGAAATAGTCAATGTAAATGGATTCAGCATGTTTTCTCTATTCATACGAAACCAATACATTCCAGTAAAGTAAAAAAGGCTCACTTGAGAGTTTTTATACTGGAAATGCCGTATTTTCATGGTTCCAAATGGTCTGGGGGGATGTGATTGTTGTTTTTGTTCTTTTCTGTCTTTCTGGTTGGAAAGAAAACAATTTTATGATCTACAGGCAGGATTTTTTTTTTATTCCTTCCTGGCTGCAGGGGGAAAAAAAAGGGAAATCTTGACCTGACTATAAACAGAAAGCAGAAGGCAAATTCATGTGAACACAGAAAAGGGGATCTCCTAACTTTTACAATGAAGTATTCAAAGTGGTTTTAGGATGGCAATATTGTATGTTAGTTTGCAGATTCGATGGGACCTTGTTCTGTCTGGTTGGGCAGTGAGGTACCACGCACATGAGCCCTATATAAGACACAAAAATAAGTGTGAATGATAGCAATGCTGATAATATTGCTTCTTATAAATAATAATTAATGCTAATTAATGTTGACTCTGTATGTTGTGGCTTGGATGAAACTCTGGCAGGAACTGGCAGACATGCTGATATGAAATCTCCACCCACAAAGTTCTGCTGAAAGAGCAGTATCTGGTGTAAGGGGATCTGCCCTTTTAAGTGCAAAGAATACAAAGTTTTCTAATTACTTTTTTTTGGTTTTGCAGAGAAATCAGGTTTACAGCTTCAGAGTCTGTCTGCATGCACAGTCTCTATGAACTGCAGATGAGGAACAAATGCAAGATCAGATCATGTTCCTTATGTAAGCTCGTAATAGTGTTTCACGTTAACTGAAAATAGCACGTGTAGTGCAATTTTTCCCCTCTAATACTGGCCCCTTCATATATGAACATGCAGATGCTGACACATTTCTTCAGAATAGGCGATGCCCTTTCCTAAATAGCGTGGGGGGCAACTGAGCCAGGCTGCTGTGGCCGTGCCACAAGACACAGGAATGCGATGGTACACAAACTGGTGCCGATAGGGAGGCTGACGCCTCCTCACTACTCCTTGGTATCTGTGTGTGTATCCGCACATATGCATACTATTGTTCCTCTGCCACTTCCCTCCCACTCTGAGCTGCCTTCTCTTCCCCGCTGCCCTCAAGCCAGGAGGTCAGCGCCACCACTTCTTTTTCGCCAGTCATGCTTTTCTTTCCATGTTTTCTCCTCTAGTTGTCACTTTCCCTCTTCCCAGTGGAGGGGCAGCAAAAGCCATTTGGCTGATTTAATGTTTTTCTGGGAAGGAAGGGCTAAGACTTAGAAAAATAGGGTGCTGATTTTTTGCCTCCAGGCAAAATGTGTAGGGGGGGACATTCTTTTTCTTGAGGGAGGAGATTTTTATTACCAGGGAGGGAATTTCCCCTAACAGAAGAGTTTAACCTGAGTTCCCCTGAGACGAAGGAGTAAGGAGCCTGCGTGCTGTGGATGTTATGGAGGATCTGGGGCTGAATGATCAGTTCCCTTCACAAAATAATCCAGCTTCTCAGAGGAAGAGAAAGGGGTTGCGTGTGGCCTTGCAAACAAGAAGGAAAAGGAGAGGGAGAAGTGCCTGGTTGTTCCTGGCTTGGTGGGAAGAGTTGCAGGGCCCTTGATCACTATGTGACCAGAAACACCCCTACTGAGAGCTGTAGGCCATGCTGAGTGTTGAGGACCAGGCCATTTGCTTGAGCAGCTCTGTGACTCCATCAGCTGCCTTGCAGAGGGTCTATGGAGCTGTATTAGCTGGCACTTCAAAGGTAAGATACTGTTTTCTTGTTTGTTTGCTTCCTGCTGGGGGATCAGTTATATGTTGAAATGACTTGATTTGATACACGCCTCCTTAGCAAATACGTTGATTCAACGTTTAGAGGATCATGTTTCTTTGTGGTGCAGAGCTATTTCTTACAATATTTGTGGTAGGCTGATGACACTCTTGTGATGATCAAAAAGAATAAATTGTATATTTTTTTAAGAATGTGTTAAACCAGTTCTGTCAAACTAGAACTAATAAATACCAGTAATTGTTTAGGTAGTTGAAAAGGACTAATTCCCCACCATTTTTGACAACATTGTAGTTAATGATTTGGTTGAATTTGTATGGAGACTTATACTTACCTCTACATTTCTGAAGCTGAGAATAGAGTACTGTATTTGTTTTGGATGAGTCTGGAATCTGAAAACCTAGATTTTTTTTTCAATGAATGCATGTAAAGTAGGCTAACCTTGAACGTTTGGCAGTGAAGCACTGGCAAAGCAAACACAGACTACACTGAGGAAGCTGGTAGGAGGATGGGCAGGGACTAGGGAGATGGCACTGGTTCTGCCAGTTTAGTAGAAGGTTATTAGTGGAAATCCTCACAGACCAGCCTGGGACTGATCTTACTTAACATTTTCATTAATGCCTTGGGTGTAGAAGGTTGGAACCAACTGATGAAATTCTCTGCTGACACAAGACAAGGAGGCATAGTCAATGTAGAGATAATGTCCAGTTCTTCCCATGCAGGAACTGTGCGGGCAGGAATGTCTAAAACAGACTATAAGTTCAATAGCTGAAGGCCTGTAGTGGAAATTGTTGGTCCCTACAAGCCAATACAGCATGAGATGGGAAAGAACCAGGTGGAGAAAGATTTGGATATGCTAATTGACTACAGAATAACTGTGAGGTTCTGGTGCAATCTGGGAAAAGCCAAATGGAAATAGACTGGTCATTAATGGATTAGGTTTGTAATTAAGAGGTTACTAAAAATGAGATTCTGGAATAACCTCCCATCTGGAATAGGAGAGCAGCAAACCTAACTGCAGCTTCATGAACTGATGAACAGGGCTCCTGATGCGGGAGCTAACAGTATCAGGGGATAATCTGATGACACAAGGCTAACCCAGAGCTTATTTCCAATGGAAGAGGTGTGTGCGGTTTATTTAGCTATACAGTGCATATAGAAAGGGAAATTGTTGTAGGCATTGCTGATTAAAATTCTGATATCCAATAAATGAATTTAATATTGAATGATGATGATGTACCATTTTATTCCTCTTAATTTTCATTAATTTCTGCATGTACGACATATTCTCGACTTTATAGAACTCTGTAATTGGTCTTATGTCAACAGGAGGCAAGGATCAGACTGTCTGCCATTAGTGACAG